TTATTATAACCCTGCTAATAGATAAAGCACTTAGATGGGCCAATCCCCTTTGGGAGAATGACAATCCTTTAGTCTACAACTACACTGCGTTTGTCACGGCTTTTAGAAGAACCTTTGACCCCCCAGGGAGGAAGATTAATGCGGCCAGATCCCTGTTACGCCTTAAACAACAAGATAGGACCCTTGTAGAATATGCTCTAGAGTTTAGATCATTGGCAGCAGAAGTGAAATGGAACGAACAAGCTTTTATGGATGTTTTCTTGAATGGGTTGTCTGATGAAATTCTAGATGAAATTGCCACAAGAGAACTTCCGGAAAATTTAGAGGATTTAGTATCCTTCATTTCCAGAATAGATGAACGCATGAGACAGAGGCAGAACACTCGGGAAAGAGTTACTAGACTTCCTGTAAGACTCGCTCCCTCATTTCAGAACCCTGACTCCTATAATCCTACTCCACCAGAACCTATGCAAATAGGTAATACTCGCTTATCTGAGGCTGAGAGACAGTACAGAAGAAGGGAGGGTCTCTGTTTATACTGCGGGCTGAGAGGTCACCTACGTCTTAGTTGCCCTAATCGTCCGGGAAACGCTCGCACCTAAGTTCCCTTAGAGGACGGGCCTTGGGTGTTTCATTACTGTCCTCTATGCATAATAAAAAAGACCATAGGCTTCTGATTCCTGTCTCTCTAGCTTGGGAAAAGGGGTTTATTGCTACAATGGCATTATTAGATTCTGGAGCAGCAGAAAGCTTTATAGACCAAACTTTCGCTAATAAGCATTGTATCCCATTCCAATTGAGAGATACACCCTTGGCCGTTGAGGCCATAGATGGTAGACCTTTATCTGAACCAGTAATATTCCATGAGACCGAACCCGTTAAGCTTACTGTTGGTATTTTCCACGAAGGAGTTGATTTCCCTTCTGTTAATTTCCTCCCCGGCAGTCCCAGTGGTACTAGGATATTCTTGGCTCAAGAGACACAACCCTCAGATTGACTGGGAGGGTGGAGAAATCGTTTCTTGGGGTATGGGTTGTAGGAAAGAATGTCTGCAGAGAGTTACTTCTGTTTGCCCCGTAAACTCTTATGTTAACACTTCTCAATCCACAGACATTCAGATACCATTACAATATCTAGACCTCAAATCTGTATTTGACAAGGGTAAGGCGGATACTTTACCTCCCCACCGGTCTTATGACTGTTCTATTAAACTTTTCCCTGGTACTATGCCTCCCAGGGGTACGGTATACCCTCTATCCACCAAGGAAAACTTAGTTTTAGAGGAATATATCAAGGAGAATTTAGACAAAGGATTTATTAGAAAGTCTTCGTCTCCGGCGGGGGCGGGTTTCTTTTTTGTAGAAAAAAAAGACGGTACCTTACGTCCTTGTATAGACTATCGGGGATTGAACAAAATTACTATCAGAAATGCTTACCCTATTCCTTTAATTACTGAACTCTTTGACAGACTAAGGGGCTCGAGTATTTTTACCAAACTTGATTTAAGAGGAGCATATAACTTAGTGCGAATTAAACAAGGAGATGAATGGATGACAGCATTTAATACCCGTTACGGGCATTATGAGTATACCGTAATGCCGTTTGGGCTTTGTAACGCCCCGGCCGTCTTCCAAGACTTGATCAATGAAGTTCTTAGAGAATTCCAACATGAATGTGTAATTGTATATTTGGATGATATACTAATCCATTCTAGAGACATTAATTCACATCATAGACAAGTCAGAAAAGTATTACAGAAACTTTTACAACATGGATTGTATTGTAAATTGGAAAAATGTAGCTTTGACCAGTCTCAGGTAACTTTCTTAGGTTACGTAATTTCCAAAGACGGGTTTATGATGGACCCGACCAAACTAAAATCGATTTTAGATTGGCCTTTACCTAAGGGACTCAAAGCCATACAAAGATTTCTTGGATTTTCTAATTATTACAGACGTTTTATTAAAGGGTACTCCTCTGTTATCGCTCCTATCACTAATATGACCAAACAAGGAGCCGATACCAAAACCTGGTCTACTGAGGCTTTATCTGCTTTCGAAACGCTCAAACAGTCTTTTGCCTCAGCACCTGTATTAGTTCATCCTGATACCTCTCTACCCTTTTTACTTGAAGTTGATGCGTCTGAAACAGGGATAGGCGCAGTGTTGTCCCAAAGACAAAGTTTAGATAAGCCGCTGCACCCTTGCGGTTTTTTTTCCAAGAAACTATCACACACTGAAAGGAGATATGACATTGGTGATAGAGAACTTCTAGCTATCATTATGGCATTAAAGGAATGGAGACATTTGTTAGAGGGCACCGTCCTCCCAGTTACTATCTTGACTGACCACAAAAATTTATCGTATATGGGGGAGGCCAAAAGATTATCTGCCAGGCAGGCACGTTGGTCTATGTTCCTTACACACTTTAATTATGTGCTTACTTACAGGCCTGGTTCTAAGAACACTAAGGCAGACGCTTTGTCACGTCAGCACGAACCTACCACCTCTACAGAGGAGACTTTGTTCTCTATTATTCCTGGAGTCAATATTATCGCCAACACCAATGTCAAAATACACTCTCCATTGCTCGCTGATATTATGAACGAACAATCTCTTGCTCCCGAACGTACTCCTGTGGGCCGCTTGTTCGTGTCCTCCAAATTCCAAGTGGACATTATTCGCTGTTTCCACGATAGCAAGTTCGCTGGTCACCCCGGCATCCACAAAACTTACTGCCTGATCTCCAAAGACTTCTGGTGGCCCGGTTTACGTAGGGATGTGGAAGACTTTGTCAAGGCTTGCAATGTTTGTGTCAGGAATAAACTTCCGCGGGATCTCCCTTGTGGTTTATTGCAGCCCTTAGTCGTTCCCAACAAACCTTGGGCTTGTTTGGCTATGGATTTTATTGTTGATCTACCAGCTTCCAATAGGCATACAGTTATCCTCACGGTCCTTGACAGGTTTACTAAAATGGCTCATTTCGTTCCCTTGCCTAAACTTCCGTCCTCCCCCGAACTGGCCGTGATATTTGCTAGAGAAATTTTCCGTTTACATGGTATTCCCAATGAGATTGTGTCAGACAGGGGTTCCCAATTTATTTCCCGTTTTTGGAGATCCTTCTGTTCACAGTTGGGCATCAAACTGAATTTTTCTTCGGCCTATCATCCTCAATCTAACGGAGCAGCCGAACGCACTAACCAAAAAATTGAGCAATATCTACGTTGTTTTGTTTCTGAACACCAGGATGACTGGGTCGGTCTGATTCCTTGGGCGGAGTTTGCTCACAACAACCTTGTTTGTGGTTCCACTCGTAATAGCCCCTTTTTCTTGAACTATGGCTTTAACCCTACTGTTCTTCCGTCGGTGTCTCCTTCCCAGGGTATACCGTCGGTTGATATTCATGTAGCCAACCTGAGAAAGTTGTGGGATCAGACTCGACAAATTCTTGAACGTAGTTCCGCGGTGTTTAAGTCACATGCTGATAGGCGTAGACGTCCTGCTCCTATTTTTTCTCCGGGGGATAGGGTCTGGTTGTGTACCAGACACATTCGCCTGAAAGTTCCTTCCTTGAAGTTTGCTCCTCGTTACATTGGTCCTTACAGGGTACTGAGGAGGATCAACCCGGTTTCTTATTTGCTGGATCTACCTCCTACTCTACGCATCCCTAACTCTTTTCATGTGTCGTTATTGAAACCTCTTGTTTGTAACAGATTTTCCTCCCGCTCTGCTCCTCCATCCTCGGTCCGTGTGGATGGTCAGGAGGAATATATCATCAAGTCCATCCTTGATTCTCGTATTTCTAGGGGGAAGCTGCAATACCTCATAGACTGGAAAGGTTATGGTCCAGAAGAGAGGTCTTGGGTTCCTGGTAATGACGTGCATGCTCCTCGTCTTCTTCGGGCCTTCCACGTTCGTTTTCCCTCTAAGCCCGGTCCCATCCGCCCGGTGGGCGTTTCTAGAAGGGGGGGTACTGTCAGGGTACCTGTTGGTGATGTATCCAGGGAGGACATCCTCTCTGCTTAGGGCCTCCCTGCCCCTAGCATTTCGGCATATTCCGGCCGTTTTCGCGCCGGCCGCGCTAGCTCCTCCCCCTTTTATGACGCGACGGCTAGCGTCGACGTCATGACGTCGGCATTTGCATAAAGTGCCGGGAACCGCTATTCCGGACCTTTTGGGGGCGTGGTCTCTATTTAGGTACAGGGTATTTAAAGGAAACCTTTACTACTGCTCATTGCCCTGTCGTGGTTCTAGCTTGCTAGTCACTCAGCGCGTTCTTTATCTTGTGTTTCCGGTTTTGACCCTTGCTTGTCTTTTGTCCTGTTGTCCTCTCCTCTCCTTTGACTCGGCTTGTATCTCGCTTACCTGTCCTCCGGCTCCCTTGACCTCGGCTTACCTTTTGACTATTCTTGCTTTGTCCTTACGTTAGTCCGGCCATTCTAAGGTCCGGTATACGTACCTCATTCTGTGCGCACTCTGCGTATTGGATCCCTGTCACTTTCCTGACAACATCTTCCAGTGATGAAGTAAGCATGATGTATCTTTCATCTACTAAGTCTAAGTCCAAGTTTTTGACCACTGCATTTACAGTTCTCAGTTTGTGGTTTTTCAGAAGATCTTGGACAGTACATCGGAAAACACCTGTTTGCCTTGAAATTTCTGCTTGGGAAAGACCCTGTTCTTGTAGTATAACTAAATTGTGACTTGTATGAATTTTGATATAACTCTGTCTCCAGCAATCTATCTACCTAGCAGAGGTTGGCTGTTTGGCTTATTGGGAGCTGAAAAACTGCAGATATATGTGATTGCAGGAATTAAATTGAGGTCTGACTTAGGTGTAAAGGTTTATGATCTATCAACATCTTCCAACAAGGTAAGTAATGTTTAAAATCTTGCATATAAATCAGGTCTGCACAACATATGACCCGTGGGTTGCTTGTGGCCCACCAAAGGATTTCTGGCAGCCCACGAAAAATGTAGAGGATGTAAAAAGTTATGCATGGACAAAGCACTCATTACAACATCTTTACTTTCTTTTACAATGTAAAAAGAAAGTAAAGATGTTGTAACAAGTGCTTTGTCAGTGTATAACTTTTGCCTGATGTTACCCAGTGCTGCCCCGCTTAACCCACTAGACTAGTCATTATTGTGCCTTGGTGTGTGGGTTGACACTGCACACTCTCTCCTGTTCGTCACATGACCTGCAGCAACCAGCCATCATCAGTCTGTCTCTTGTCACTAGAGACAGACTGACAATGGTTGGTTGTCACGGGTCACATGACAAACAGGAGAGAGTGTGCAGTGGACTAGAGAGGAGCAATGGATTGAGAGGAGTGAGAGTGATTGAATCTGTGTTTTTGGCTGATATTTTGAAAACATCAATTTAAAACATGATTCTGGAGTACGATAAACTGCTGACAAGAAGTGGAAAATGTCCCATTGATGGTAAGAATACCTGGGAAATTTATTCAAACTTATACCGCTTAGCAAAGTAATTTTTATAATATGGTTTATTTGCAAAATAGTTTAATCATTAATTATAACTTTAACTGGAAAGTGAGGCACTAAAAACTGCGACCTGAGGGAGTTTAACCTATTTTAATATTGGCCCCTACCTACTGCCAAGTTGTGCAGGTCTGATGTAAATCATGGTTAGTAACTTCTACTGATATCGGTGAGAGATGTTAAACTTTTCATCAGATCTTAAACAACATGATTGGCAACACAAATGACCAAAGTCATTTTATCAATTTCTGACTTGTCTATAAATGATTATGGCTATCATGTCAAAAAGCCCACAGGCACTAAGTAAAACAAGATACACCTCATAAGAACAGATAACTTTTTTATGTTTACTGTGTGTCCTGCATGCTTTTTGGCACACTCCAAATTGGAATTTCTATGTTTTCATTTTAGCAACGTTCAATAAACCCAACTTTGTGCAGCATCTGTGTTCTTGATGTCCTATGGATAGTTTCATCCACTCCACTCCGATATGTATTTCTCCAGGTGGTTCAGAGTTATCATTGGCCAGATGTTTGCGTCTCCTACTAAAGTTCCCCTTTACATGATCACTGAATTTTGGTTAATAGCTATCATAAGGTGCTCTGGAGGATGTTCAAAGATTTGGGTGTTTTTATGCCAAAACCCTGGTTAGTGTTTCTAAAGAATTTAATTCAGGACCTTATTAGATAGCCACTCGGTTGTCATGGTGCTGTTTGCTCAGATAAGTCCTCTAACAAACTGTACCGCCTTACAAATGTACTTATTTATAGGTTATTCGGCACTTTAGTTATTATCTAGTGATAATACAGAGCCCTTGGTGACCATGATTGCGGCTGCCTGACAGCCAGTAGAAGCATCAGCATAGCAAAATGAAAAAATTTAATTCTTCTGAAACTTCACAGTTTTCTTTTGCAGGGATTCAGGGCTAGCATCAACATCCCAAATAACTTCATTAAGATAATCTGATTTTTGGGCTTTAAATAACTTTAGTTTTTTAATAACTTTAATTTTGAACAGTATTTTAGGAGGTTCATGTCTTTCTGCTCCAGAGCAGAATTAAGCATAAGGTTCACTGGCTGCCTAACTGGCCCAGATGTTAGACACTGGCCCAGAACCATAGCTATGCATATTAATCTAGGTTTTAAAAAAAGACTAAAGTCAATCACGTTCAACAATTGAAACCCATTATTTTATGCTGTTGATCCAAAATAAAGCAAAAAAAAAAAAAAAAACTATTGTAGCTATAGCCATAATCATAAATTAGCTTCACCCTATTATTATTATTTATTTATCAAATATTTTACCAGGAAAGATACATTGAGATTTCTCTCGTATTCACCATTCCTATGTGAAGAATGTAGGATGGAAGGATGCCTACATCCTGGTGAAATCTTAATCCTTCTCTGTTCTCCTCACTACATTATACTCTAGCATCTTTATTTAAAATGACTGCTGCATAACTAAAAGAGTGAATAAAATATATCTCTATCAGAAGAACCTCTATCACTGCTCATTCCTTCAAAACATGGGGAATGGAGATGTACCCAAATAGTTCTTCATCTGCCTTATCATATTCATGTTACGACTCAGAGAGAAACATAAAGCTTATTGAGAAGCAAAACATAGCTGAGCTTTAAATATTAATCCTAGTGAGTAATAGTGGTTATATTCTGAAATTCAGTTGTGACTCAATGTGATTCCCATTTTTTATTCTATGAGTAAATAAATCTTGCAGCCTTCCTTATCAAATGTTTTTGAGCACAAACAAGAGGTCAAATTGGAACAAAAATATAACACATCTTTAACCCACTCCCAATCTCCCTTATTGATGTATTTGCGGTGAAGACATACAAACAAACATCATATATTGAGACTCGTGATTTCTTTTTTTAATTAGTCATCAACCATTCTGACTTTTTTTACTGTTACAAAATTGTCGTGTTTGTCAGCATCTGATCATGTGACATGCCACCTACCAAAATATTAATATTATAAGAAATGAATGAACACTGCTTGGAAAATTAGCCATTATGACTTCTGTACTGACAACGAAGACATTATTTTTAACGATTTTAGCCAATGTTTACTTTTAATAACATTGAATTCCATTTTAATACAACCGATGCAAAGTATTTATTGTGTGATTTCATTAAACCTTCCAAGTCACAAATATTATAAATAAAGCCAGCCATAGAAGCACATTTCTAGATATTTGTTCAAGAAATTATCATCACCAACATTTTTCCATTTAAATTTTAATAATCATTTATTTAGTGGAGCACAGCATGTCTGAACATTACATCTTGCTTGCTCAGCAATTTGAATAACTATTTAATGTGCAGCATTTTCTTCAGTTGCCTGAATGTCTTCATATATATTTATAAAAAAACATACGTGTTTTACTGCATTTAACATATTTTTTTCCTCTTTACATCACTTTTTTAATTCATAAGGCAGGAATTATTATTATTATTTTTATATATAAAGGATACTTTTTTTATGCGTCTTGCCTAAAATTCCAAAACCGTTGGAAAAAGAAAAAAAATACATTTCCAAATAATATTTGCACCTTCAGTCTGAAATAACATACTTCAGTCTGCCTTCTCTAATTCTCTGGCCTTCTGGATTAAGCCAACGTGTTTAAAATTCCAACTTTCTCCCTGGTAGCCTTTGGGTTGAGCCATCAAAATAGGAAAACTGATTACACTATAATCACAATTTCAAATTTAGTCTAGTATTTCCTCATTTACGTCTTCACTAACTGTATTCATTAGTCTCCTGAAGAGTGTTTCTAATTGTTTTGGCTGAGAAACAAGGTTAAAAAAATGCCTCTCTGCTTGTACCACTTTAAAAACATTTTCTTTTTCTAAGGTGGGGGAGGTTACAGACTTATCTGAAATTGGATACCCATGCCTATATAAACCATCCATCTGCCCTGTACTTTATGTGAAAGCATAATGGTTCTACTATTTTCATTTACGGTGGGGGGGTATTGAGGTATGATACGTGCAGCCTACTGTTGGATATCTCAAAAAATACTGTTATATATACCTGCATATCCCAAGTTGGCTTTTGAAAAGTCCACTTGCGCACAGAAACCGAAGCAGTAATGTTTCTACAAGTTTCCCAGAATCCCCAGCTTGCTATGCAAATGAGCACCGACAGGCGTCGTGTTTCAGACTACACCATGCATTTCTGCAGATACCCTTAGCAATGGATAATGTTTTAAACATGGCCTTTTTAAACTAAAGCATAGATTATGATGCAAAAGGGCCAGTTATCTAAATCCAGCTTGAGATATGCAGGTAATGCACAACAGTATTTTTTCTATTTGCTCTATGGTCTCACCACAACCTTTTTGGCACAGTGAAATAGCTCAGTGGTTAAAAATCTAGGTACAGTTGCTCAGAGTCGCAGGTTTTTCTGTTGTTGTCCTGTCAACTTAAGCTATAACAATGTCAATATTGCACAATGTCCTTTAAAACATATAAAAAATAAAGGTACTATTTGTGGTTAAAATGTGTAACCCAAAGATATATTAAAAAGAAGATTTTGATTGACATTAATATGTGCCAATATAAATAAAATAATCTCTGCATATGTCTTACATTAGCCTTTTAGGCTACTGAGACTATTATTACAAAGAGCAATGTATCCACAATATATGATCTGAAACATCCAGCTAAATTAATTGGTGAGAATAAATACAGATAAATAGAAACAGAGTTTGGATTTAGAATGCATCTGAATATCATGATCAAAGAGTTGCATAATATATTGCCAATTCAGAAATAAAATAATTATTTACTTTATACTGTAGTCAGACTTAAACAAACAGACTAAACTGGTATTTATAATTAATTCAGAACTACAAAACTGATCTGACCAGTGAACATTCGTGGGAGCACTGAGGCTAATGCCCCGTTTCAACTGAGAGGTTCATTTCGGGTCGGTACGGTCTGGTACGCTATTTTGAGTGTTTCCATTATGAAAGTGACCCATACAACTGAACCAAACCGCACCATTCCTGAGCCACCTTCAGATGTAGGTCCATAGGGCGGAGCTACTGGCGTCACAGTATACAATCCATTGATTGGCGGCCAGGAAAACGTCAATGCTCACGACAAATGACATTTGGTCTAAACCCCGCATGCTCCCTGGCAGTCCAACTTGAAGTGGAAACGCTCACCTGAATAGGCTAGATATTCTAACCGTTCCGAACCGTACCAACCTGAACCATACTGCTCAGTGGAAACAAGGCATAAGAGTTAATGGTATTTACTTCCCCAAGATGGGAGATGTTTGAAAGGAGAATGAGTAGGATCTGTCTGGGACTAATTGGTGCAACAGGACAACCTGGTATTTTGAAAAAGGGTATTCTCATATATACATGAATATATATTTTATATATATATATATATAAATCACAACTCAACTTTGAATTCTAAATGTCGTCTTGTTCAGAAATGCTTTAGACTTGAGAAAGGGAGGTTCTCCCGAAAGCTTGTCATTCAAAAATTCTGTTAGTCCAATAAAAAGGTTATTACAAGATACAAATTTTATCTATTTTTTACACAC